CATCAAGTCGTAGTTGCGACAATGCTCCTCCCATTCGCGGAGGAACTCCCCACGGTACATAGCGCCGCCATACAGGAAGTGGGGCATGATGGTCTGCCTGAGTTGGGCGATGCGGCGATTTGCGGGCGGGGTGGCACTGCCGGCGCGAGGAACAGCGCGAGCCGCCCGGGATGCGCGGCAGAAGAAACAGGTGAGCTGGGCTTGGGTGGGCATCAGGATGGAGGGGACTGTGAAATGAAGTGCACCCGCAGAGCCCTTCTATCTTTTATGACCTGCGCGAGCGAGTGGCAAGGCCACCCACCGACGCGAGGCCACCACGCATGCCCATTCGGGAAACTCTTTGATCGTGCTTCATCCCATTGTGAACAATGTGCAAGCGGATCCCTGACCGCCATTGGCCGTCGACTCATCTATCCAATTATCAGTCGACGCTTACATCACAGCCAGCCACCCACCATTTTCACTGCTGGCCACAATGTGGATTAGCTCCGGCCTGTTCCATTGGTATAGGATGCCAGGCTGCATCTTTCTTTATTCACTCGTTCCCGTTACTTAATGCTAATACATACATTTCTACATACGGGACATGGTGGTTAGAAGCAAGAGCAGAATAAGCGCCGGAACAAACAGGCGCACTACTTGATGTGATGAGTTTCGGCAGAAGTTCGGCATGTCGAAGGGACACGTGACCGGTCGCGTCGCGTCCCAACAAATAAACTGCATAGGAAAAATGAAGAACAAGTAATATATTTATGTGTCAAATAGACCATTATCATCCCAAATTGTCTCCCCCTCGTCATTCTCAAGCCCTCTATAATTATCTGCGCGTTCAACGGCTGTTAAGACTTGAAACAAGTCGTCGTCTTCGTTGTCGTCCATCCCGTCGTCGGAGTCGGAGTCATATCCATCGCCCCACGACGCCGTCACCTCAGCGATCTGGCAGCCAAGAAGCTCCTCCCTAGTGGGTCCCCATTCCGGAAGACTTTTGCCGCTGAATGCAAGTTGGTCGAGGGATTTCTTCCACAGGACGCACAGCTGAAGAAGTTCTTGGTGTCTCAGTTGGAATTGATATTGGATGGCCCCTGGATATGTCAGTCGAAATACACACTAGGAGCGAAATACATACCCTGAGTTATGGCGATGACCCCACAAACCGCCCTCCACTTGGTGGCAAACCACATTTGCAAATGCCTCCGCTCCCTCAGCCAATTGCGGAGCCTCTTCCTTGCACCGATCCTTCTGCAGCAAGGCTCGTATTCCGGCTCGCACCTTCTCGTTGCTCAGCCAGAGGGGGGCCACCCCTTGCTCATCCCCATCCAATCCCAAATCCTGCCAGATCGCGTCATCCACGTCTAGCTGGTAAATCCCCTTCGCGGGAACGGGAATGGGAGCGATCGCGCCTTTGGGCGCTTTCTTGGTGTCGATGAGCGCCTTTATTTCGACGCAGGACTGGCTGTACGATTTAACGAGTCGGGCAATGTTAGGTTCGCGGTGGTTGATTGCTGCACCGGCGTGCTCATTCCGTTGATTCTCTAAAAATAAAATGTCAGTTAGTGGCAAACGTTAAGACACGAGACACCACATACCGCTCCTCGTACGACTGAAAGAGCGCTCTATTGGATCAAGCTCGAATTTGTGATCCCGCAGCTTCTCTTGCAATTGCTCCTTGAATATCTTGGCGCTCATTCGCGCTGAATAATACTGGCTGTGAGCAAGTTTCTTGAGCGCAGTGGAATCATCAATTCCCAGCGTACGCTGAAGACGGAGAGCCCTCTCCTTCTCCTTCTTCCACGCTTTACGAGCGTCCTCGAGATGCAGCTCAGCATATAAGCGAACTTCCGGCGTGCAATCGTCTTCTTCCACAGATTCCTCCAAGGATGCCACCCGCTCGAATAAGACCTGCACCTTTTTACGGGACACAAGGATTCTTCGACTTTGATATCTCTGGTGGGCAGGAAAGTGGGGACCCCTTCCATCGTCACATCGAGGCGCTTTCCCACCAGACCGGCAATCCTGAGCCATGTGCCGTCGCGTTCACCAGGCAGCCGTTGCTCCTCGCACTCCGACTTCCTTTGTTGCTCTTGCAAAAGTCGCTCCTTCTCGTGTTGTTGTTCTTCCTCGGTGGAAGACCTGAGACCCCACTCTGGATCGCTTTCCTAGGGGGCCAGCGGCGGCGTGGCAGCGCGTGGTTGTAGGGGAGCAGAGGAAGTCGTCAAGCGTGGGGCGTAAAGCACCCTGGACGGAAGGTATTGAGCTTGTGCCAAACGTAAACGAGTCCTGAAATCATGTTAACGAGAGGTAGATAGTTGAATAAAATGGGGTGCACAGGTCGTGGACCACATTCTCGATGGGCACATTGATCTCTTGATTTGAATGGGATCGGATCGTCACCATGATTCCCTTCGTATCCCCCGTTAGGTATCGCCGCCTCTGCCCACTGGCCTGCTGTGATTTAAGGTGTTCGCTCCGCTCCTTCGTGTTGTAAGTGCGGATAACCTGCCCACGAAATCCCTTATTCGGATGCTTGAATCCGACGAGGACGTAAATGTTGGAGTACTCCACTCCGCTGTGGCTCAATGACGATGAGAGCCCGCTGGCAGCCCTGTCTCGCTCGACCCTATCTCGCTCGATAATTCTTTGGTGAAGCTCTGCGAAGCTAGTAGGCGGCTCCAATTCGATCATCTTCCTGGTGACTGCCTGATTCGCTTGCGATTCAGCTTCGTACACCGCATAATTGTCAGCCTGTGTTTGCCTCCGGTATGCCAGCGTCTTGGCTGGACCGGGACCGGACAAGGTTGGAGGGTTAACGAGATGCTGAGTGACCACAGATGGCATTGTGTATTGATGAAGCGGCCGATTGGCGGCAAAGTTCTCTTCGTCGAACATGAGGAAATCTACATCGGCCTTCATTACATGGACCTATTGCGAATCAGTACCTGTTCTTCAGTATTTGCGGATGCGTCGCAACTCACAGTCTGAGCGAGGGCATCCGGGTTGTTTTGATGCTGAAATTTTACCATTCAGATTAGGTTACCAAGCTAAGAGAATTCGCCTACATCAACCAAGTCAAAGCACCCAGTTTTGTGTCTCTTGACGATCCACTGATTACCCGCTTCGCCGGGCCCCATCATGAAGTCTTCTAGAACTTCTCGCCCGTCTCGAGTCTACAGCAAAAACAATCATAAGCTTCCAACACAGATACCATTAGAAGACGAAATTACCGTAAATGAATCAAGACCACCATCTGAATGCACCTCAACAACGAGCCCATGTAGATTTTTACGGTCGCCACGCACGACAACGACGAGATCCCCTGGCAAGAAGTACCGATTTACGTGTTCCATTGAGACCTCTATAATGCGGATGCCGTCCGCCTGCAGCTTGGATGGCAACTTCTCATCGAATTCTGCACCAGATGCAAGTGCGACGCTGATCTGCGACCCATCCAAGGAGGTGATCCGTCCGCTAAGCCCTCGATACACTGGTCTGCAATTGACGCGAACACGGTCAAGGATGTGGAGGGGGGCCGCCGGGCTCAGAATGTGCCGGACCATTTGGTTGAGTGGATACACAAAGCTCTGTTGGTCCGCGTGCGGAAAGTTCGGAGTGAGTCGGCAAACTCGCTTCAACTGGCCGCGCGCAGAGAGTTCAGTGATTTCCAGAATATATGGAGCCTCACCGTGACGCTCGCCTGCCACAAGGAGTACGTGATCACCAGCCTCGATCGCCTGGCTGGGACCTGCAAACAACCAACACAGCAGCGCTCGGCAGCAAGTACCACGGAACGGCGTGAGTTCATCGATTGCGGGATCGACTTGCGGGTACTTTTGGGCAGATAGTTTGGTGCCCACTTGCCGTGGCTGGCAGGGATCCGGGGTCTCTTCAGCTTTTGGGTTCTGGCTCCGTGGGGGTGGTGGGGGGGCGTCGACCCTTTTCATGAGGAGCTCTTTGGGGCCAAGCACGAACACCAGCTCGCCCTGGAACCGAATCCACGAGCCGCGAACGACCTCACCCGGGTTAGGCAGCGCTGACCTTAGCCGCCGTTCCATCCCCCTCAGTGTTTCGTTGTGGGGCGCCGGGCGCACGTTCGCGGATGGTGACAGGGTCCTCGCGATGACACTGAGAGCGGGATCATTGGGCGCCACAAACGCTGTCGCGCCAGGCTTTTCGCGGGCGGCGGACGCGGAATAGTCGCGGGCGCGGTTCTCAAGGTGTCAGTGTCATCATCGTCGTCGTCGTCGAATGTCCACAGCTGGTCCGTTTGTAGCTGTGGAGGGGTATCGTCGATAACCTCTAACGGAAAGTGTTCAGAAATATCCATTATGTGGATGGACTCAGACATACCAATGTCAGAATCGTGCAATTCCTCCTCCTCTTCCTCGCCATCTTGGGGATCATTCTCCTCGTCCGAGTCAGCGGCCGTCGTGTCCAGATACGTCGCGAGCTTTTTGTATAGACGCCTGGCGCGCGCTTCCTCAGGCGGAGGAGAGGCGGTACCCATACGCGAAGGGGAGGCGGTCCGCATACATTTGGCTGCGGGCGGAGGGGAGGATGAGGAGGGCCAGGGATGAGCGGACTTCAGCGCAAATGTTAGTACCAGAATGATAATGGCAGATCCAGGCATACATTTGCGGCTGCGAGGGCTTCGCGGGGAGAGATATATGGCGTGAAATCACGGGAATCCCGAGGCTGGAAGGGAGTGGGCCCGCGCGCTGATATGCGAACCGAAACAACTAATTTCAGTTGCCCTACAATTTGGTCGGTAGATGGTCTACAGAACATCCGCTGACCATCCACTGCTCGTCTGCAGACAATCCGCTCATCGTCCACAGACAATCCTCAGATCGTCGTAACCCACATCTCTTCTCTGTTTTTTTTTGCCTACCCGGTGAAGGGCCAGCCACCAGTGTGGCTGTGCCTGGTGCACAGAGTGGGTGAAGTCCAGTTGCCGAATAGGCGTGTGGCCAACCCTAGAACTCATCAAAAGGTGCATCATCGTCGGCATTATAGCTCAGTGGTTAAGAGCAATTCAGCATGTAACGAGGAGGTCACAGGTTCGAATCCTGTTGATACCATCTTTTGGAACATTTCACGCCCGAGCACAAACCTACCTTATCACCGGTCGACGTCGAAGCCCAAAATAACTGGTGTATGCATTGCATGCATCGCGCGCATTCGGGTACATGAGACATGTGCAGCCTGAACGGGCTCTACTGGAGATCGCGACACCATGGGTATAATTATCAAGAAATACGAATATACCAGTGTAATAATACAGTGTATTCGATCCAAGCCCTCGGCTTTGAGAAGGGCTCAAGCCATGCATATGTCTCGCATGTGTGAATGTGCGCGACATATGCAGCTCTATACCACCTGCATATGCCAGCCGTGTTGGACTTTGACGTTAACGGAGTAGGCGAAAAAAAAAAAACAGAGAAAAGATAATATATCTGCGGATTACAACGATCTGAGGATTGTCTGCAGACGATGAGCGGATCGTCTGTGAATGGTCAGCGCGACTGAAATGAGTTGTTTCGGTTTGCATATCAGCTTCAGCTGAAATCCAACATTCAATTAAATTCAATCCAGTTTATACTAATACTGAAACTATGAGAATGAGCTCGAATATCGGACTCACTTAAACACAATTCACTACTTCGGGTTCAGAATTACACCTCCGCTCTGCCAAAATTTGGCAATCAGCAGTGTGAGTTCTCCATGGTAGCCAAGGGGTACTCAAGATCAAAATTTGCTACACGACGTCGGAAAAGTGAATTAAGGCCGTCCAGACCCTCCCTACCCTATTAGCCGAGTTATGTAAGCACAAATCAGGAAGTATTCCAACGGAAATGGCCGCAAAAGCTCACATTCTTGCCTTGATCTAACACTTATTAGGCGGTGATGCGCGCTGTTTGTTGGGGCAGAAATTCAGGGTCGAACACTCACCAACCTCTCCCACCTTCAACCGGGTAAAAAAACTCGGGGTTTTTCTTACCCTTCTAAACACATTTTAAGAGTCCTCCGACCAAATTCCGAAAAGTGAAATAAGGGTGTCCAGACCCACCCTACCCTATGAGGCTGTGTCTCGGCTTCTGCCGGCGGGTACCCCTTGATGGTAGCCAAACCCAAAGGTTCAGCAATAAGTTTGGAATAAGTAGTTCCAGCCTGGTGCGTTCCGGGCGGCGAGTGGCGATGATCCGATGTGATGTGTGACCGCTGTGACATCGCGCCTCCGCCTTGGCCTCCGACATCCTGACGCGCTAGCTAGCGGAACCGCGCGCTTTTTTGCTCTTCTTCCGCTCTGGACCCTCTTTTCCCCTGTCTCTCCTGCTCCTAGCTTCCGAATTACACGATCTAGACCCAGCTCCGCTGCAACGCTAATGCACACCTAGAATCATTGACGCCGCCCGGTACAAGGTCAAAACGCTCTGGAGAGATGCCCAAAATCGCACCAGCACATGCCACGGAAACCTTGTCTGCTACCAGGGAGCCCAATACCACACTTTGTTTCTGCTCCTGGCGACACGTGTCGGCACGGTTGTTGCGCGTAGTTCGGTCCCGCCGCGCGAGTCACCGCGTGCCATTCGGTCCGCAGGTGTAGGCCCACCTCCGTTCTGGCGCTGCGCTACGGGGATGATTCAGCGCGGTGGGCGCACACTGAGCATGGACAGCAGCGATGTCTGTGGCTTCGACGCACATGTCCTCGGGGACGCACTGCGTGTATGAAGGGCGAGCTCCGCAGGCCGGAGCCCTGCTGCTGCCTACGGCCGCGCGGACGCGACTTGTGCCTTGTAGCACAATTGGAGCACGCAGGCTCACACCTTTGGTTAGATATTGTGTCCTTTCCTTCCTTTTACCCTCTCTTTATCGCTCCTCGCTGTCGCCGGAGCCGCACCCGTACCGCCACGTAAGGTGCCCAAGCGCGCTGATGCTTGGGTGATATCCCCTCTTTTTTCGTTTCATCTTCTTCACTCAATTGTACCGCAGTGTACAGACAAGCATTACACTGGTTGAACATTTCAAGTTTTTTGTTGAAAAAATTGGTGAAAAATATTTTGAATTTTATAGATTTTTTTTGCCAAAAAGTAAGGTGAAAAACTTAAAACATTTTCAGCACTTTTTCATTTTATTTCAGATTTTTCACCTCAAAAGTCAAAAAGTACTGAAAAAGTTTTTAAAATTTTCACATACTTTTTCAGTGGAAAATTTCTGCAAAATGCAAAACATTTTTCACCAATATTTTCACTGAAAAACTTGAAATTCTCAACCAGTGTTAGCGTATAATAAATTTTGTGGAACTCCATACTTATATATTTTGTTGTATTTGTATAGGATCCTCTAACTAAGGAAAACTGAGATATGTGGCGGACAATATCTTCGGTCTGAAGTAATTTGACGGCCTGAAGCTCTTCCTGCAAGGTGGATGCTCGTCGTTCAGCCCGCAAGTCGCAGAATCATGTGACAATATGCCGAATATCCGAATATGTGCGGCACTGTGCCGCATTCAGTGTGCGGCTGTTGGCAACAATGTGCCATTGATGTCGTCAAAGTGTCGCACATGGAATGCGTGTGCCGCACTTGGCGTGTGCCGTGGGTGTCGCGTTTGGACAATCCCGATTGATTTCGGACCCAAATTAGAACCCGCGATGGATTAGAGATTCGGACGAGTGTTATTGAAGTTCTATGTCGAGCTGTGGCCGCCTGAACGAGGTCCCCGCGGAACGATAAACAAGCCAAAATCAAGCCTTCCCAAAACCAGCATCGATATTCTACTGGCACTGGATAGCTGGGTAGCTATTTATTTTCAACACGGTGAGGATATCCGGACTCCGGTGGACTTAAACATGCACCAGCCTCAAAAGAAAAGATGTTTACAGTCATTCCTTGGCAAAATGTACGACATATATGATTTGCACGGAATCGGACCGGCGACGGAACTATATTCGTCCCCGTCCGTGTCCGCCGGCTGCGAATCTAGGCTTTCTTGGACCACTTTCTTTGGTTGCCGGTATGCGGGTCTGGATTGTTCGGGCGCTCTACAACTTCGCTTCCCAAGCTTTCTTCCGACTCGTAAACCCCGCGAAACATCTGAATTCCAAGAAAGCCATGGTAAGAATCTTATAAGCCCCCCTTCTCACTGGGGACTTTTTGCGGTATAAAGCCTAGAAACTTTCCCCGTCTTTCCGCAAGCTGAATTCCCCTCCTTCAACTTAAGGATGTTCTCCAAGGCTTTCTCTGCTTTTCTCGTTACTGCACTGGCTGTCTCAGCGTCGCCACTCGCGCCCCTCGAGGTCCACATTTCTCCATTTCACACACTACCAATATTTAACATTTGAGTACGACAGGCCCGCCAGGGATGCGCGCAGACGTATACTGTTGCGAGTGGAGACACCTGGGCGGCCATCGAGTCAAGGACTGGAGTCTCAGATGCTCGGCTGCATGCACTGAATCCGTCAATTGATGGTGGTTGCACGAGTACGTTGCCCCTCCCCCTGTCCATGTGAATTTTCGCTGAGATTTCTTCCCCTGCTAGATCTTCAAATCGGCCAAGCCCTCTGTCTCAGCGGTGGCGGGGGATCCGGTGGCGTATGTGAGCAGACATATACTGTCGTCAGCGGAGACAGCTGCGCGGCCATCGAGTCAAGGATTGGAGTCTCAGATGCTCAGCTGCATGCACTGAATTCGTCAATTAATGGTGGTTGCACGAGTATGTTCTCTTCTACCTGGCCTGTCCATGTCAATTTTCCCTGAGAGTTTTTATTCGCTAGATCTTCAAATCGGCCAAGTCCTCTGCCTCGGTGGTGGCGGGGGGACTCCTCCCGGTGTAGGCGAGTCCTTCAACGGCCTCGGTATGTTCTTCTAATTCTCTATCTTGCATTTGCGACACTTATGCCTCGTTATCCAGCGACCTTCTATGACCCCGATGGCGGGTTGGGTGCGTGCGGTAGCCCCCTGCAGAACGGGGATTTCATTGTCGCACTCGGAACGGGACACTGGGATGGCGGCTCCCATTGCGGACAGACACTTAATGTTCAGTGTGCGTATCCCTTCTTCTTTCCTCTTCTCAACCGTCAATGCTGAATTGCATTCGTACCGCAACAGACCACGGCCGGACCATCCAGGTCAGTGTGCAGGACTTTTGTCCTGGCTGCCAGGGTGCCAATGGACTCGACTTGTCCGAGGGCGCAATGGCGGCGCTTGACTCAAATTACATCAACGATGGGGTGATTTTGAATCTGGTTCTGGTTGTCGACTTGCTTCTTTAACTGTTCATTTAATGTGGAATTCGGTTTCAATGGTTTGAATTTTCTGGTTCGGATACTATCTACCGGCGGGAAGCTGTCCACCTTAGGATTTTTGCCCGATTGGGTACTTCGCGTACGGTCTTACCATGGGCCCAAGAGTTGGAGATAGACTGCATACATCCTCTGAACAATTGAAGACCAGTTGCAATAATTGTGGTGAGAGTTTGAGTGCTTGGTGAATTCTTTTCCGTCGGAACTCCCAAAGGGTAATTGATGGGGACCTGGCCACTGACGACAATTCATTGTTGCTGACTCAAATGATAATCCTGTAGTGCAGGATATGTTCAAGGGACCTAAATACAATATTCTAGACATCCAAACATTATGTCAGACCTATGTAATCATAATAAGGTGACGCTTCTAACGAGGTGTGAAAGCGCCGGGACCCACGCCACTGATAGGATGAGGATCGTGCGGGCAGAAGTTAGAGGACGGTGGTGGCCAGAATAGGTTGCCTCTTGCTTCATAATAAGTAAAGCGACGTGCCTGGACCTGTTGCTCCACTCCTGAATCGTGCTGTCGAGAACCCGGCATTAAGACATTGTTGCCACCGAAAGTAGGGTGATAGAGCGCATTGGACGTCGACAAGAGAGGCATTGAAGAAAAAAAATTACCGAACACATGTACAACTCAATGCTCATACATCAGCATGAACTATGCTAGGTGCCAGACCTGCAGTGTTAATGGGTCACTTGATAGACAGCCTTTGTGTTGCGGTCGTCCCAGCCGTGTTGCAATCATTTCTGGGGCATTAAGACAGAAGGAGGGCA